TCTCCTGCTGGACGTGCACCCAAGGCCCCCCGGTCCTCCCTCAATGGGCATGAGGGTCGCCTGTGGAGGGCAGCCTCTGTCAAGACAGACTCTCGGGCCCTCTCTCCCCTCAACGCTTGCTCAACGCGAGGCACTTCACCCATGTCTCGTTAGGCGTCAGGGGAGGGGGAGGAGACACAGGAGACTGGTGGGCATGCACGTAATGGAATGGACATCTGAGCTAACGTCTAAACACGGAACACATGGCAGGGCGTGGAGGAGTGGGACACGTGACAAGGGAGGCACTACAGACAGGGGAGCGTGTTTGGGTGTTGAGATACCTACCATCATAATATTCCAAATTCAAAGACTGCTTGTATCAGAACAAAGAAACAACAAATTTAACCAAAGGTGGTCATTAAAGGAAAGGAAATGAGACAGGAACTAGTTGGTATCCCTCCACCAAGAAGGAGGTACCTACACCTTCACCTTCCCTGAAATTACAGGTTGGATGGAACCTGCAGGTGGAACACGGGTGTTTAATTTGGACTCTCCTGATTCACTTTGGAACCAGTGCTCTCTCTGTCTCTCTAAATATATGTATAGATATATATTTTTCATTCTGCAGGCTACCAGCACTGCAGTACGTGACTGCACGACTCACTGCTTGCAGCCCTGTAGCTGGTGCATGCCGTTCAATGCCACGCTTCTTTTCAGCACTGTAAAACAATGTCAGCTAACCAAGCTCCTCTGTCCAGAGACGTGGTTTTGAAACAGAAAACAAACAAAAAAACAAAACGAAACCAAAAAAAGCCTGCCCCAGAGCCCTTCTCCAAGTGTCTGGACTCCAAGTGCATGGGAATGCTACTGCTGCCAATTTGAGCTCATTGAAACCTCGGGACATGGTGGCGCTCTCTCTGTCATGCAGACATGCCACGGAAGCATTGACAGGGCCGGGCCAGTTCCAAAATGCTGGCTTTCAAAGCAAAAGGATAAGTGCCCGTCCTGGTCTGTGAGGGCTGTGGTCTAGGTCCTACCACCAGGGATATGTTATTTGTAAGAGCAGGGGAAAGAGAGAAAGAGAAAAGTAGGGAGAGGACACGGCATAAAATTAGCAAGGAAATTTTGAAGAATGAGGATCATTAGTCATTGATGCCAGCAGGGAAGTAGATAGGAACGAGGTCAAAATATATCGACACACTAAGGTACCAGAAGGACAGAATGCTTTGATTTTTCCCAAAGGCCTCTCAGTAGGGAATATACCTGCACGGTTTGCACCATAAAGTCTGTCGGTCAAGCCCGAACAGTGCCCGACACTTCTTTGGAGTATTTGCATCTGTTAGCATAAGGTAAACACAAAAAATACAACACAATGGTGGGTCGTGCTCGGTTGGATGTGAAATCTCAGCTACAGCTGACTTGTCTTCGCTATCACCTCGGTTCTACTTGACTGTCTTCCCTCACCAAGGACATGAAAGGAAAGGACTTCTATGCATCAAAAGAAAAAAAATAAAATAAAACGATAAAACACAAAGAAAAAAACAACAACCAGAAACCAAAAAACAACAAGGAAAAAATAAAAACAGAGAGAGAAGAGGAGGGGAAAAAGGTGACGTTATTTGCTTCTACCTAGGCCAGGCTTACGATGGATGTCACTGAGCCCCCATCCTGGGCTGTCGGGAGGAAGGGGCTGGCAGGCAACATTCCCTGGGAGGGGGCGCGCTGGGGTTTGCTGTCGCTGACCCGAGGAGGCACGAATGATGCTGTTTTACAGTGGCATTTTGGCTAGCAGCAGCGAGGAGGACAAGCACGTCCCTCACAGAGCAGTGTCCCGCGCCCTCCTGTCTCCTAAGATCCACACACAGAGCTACAAAGCAACAGGCCAGAGAAGGGGGGAAAGGACCAAATAGACCAGCTGCAAACCAGCACAGCGAATCTGGGAAATCTATACACACCTGCAAGGGCCGCACCAGTTATTCTGTTGATCAAGGCCAAAGCGCGCTCGGCATTTCTTAGGAGCGCTCAGGTCTGAATGAGTTCAAGAGAGAAGCGAGCGGAAGAGGAGGACGTGGGAGAGAGGGAGAGGGAGAGGAGAGAAGAGAAAGAGAAAGAGAGAAAGAGAAAGAGAGAAAGAGAGAGAGAGAGAGAGAGAGAGAGAGAGGGAGGGAGGGAGGGAGGGAGAGAGAGGGAAGGAGAGAGGAGGGGGGAAGAGAAAGATACAAATAAGAAAAAAATAAAAATAAAAAAAGGGAATAAATCAATGACCTGGTTACTAATTACATAATATTGACTTTCGTCTTTAACTTTCTTTAATCAAAAAAAAAAAAAAAAAAGGAAAAAAAATCACATTCTTATTCAACTTGTGAAATTAGCTGTTGCAAATAAAGCTGCAGTATCCCTTCTTTAAGGACTGTCTCTCCGATTCGGTTTGAACTGATAAAGGGAAGTTAGATACTGAAGAACTAAGTTTTAAATAATGTTTTTCCTCTTTTGGTTCTGCTTTTTGTTTTTTTCTCTCTCTCTCTCTCAATTTGTTTTTCTTAAAGAAGAAAATAAAGCAAAGGAGGGAATTAAGTTTGTCACATGCTTTTTTCTTCTCAGAGTACAACAGTTTAAAAAAGAAAAAAAAATACTACAAATAAAAACAGAACAAAACGAAACAAAACAGAAAGAAATAAAGAAAGAAAGGGGTTGTGGTACTGGGATATTGCAGCTTTTGGAATGTTCATATTTTCTTTTTTAAATCTATTTCCATTAATATTAAGAGAGGAACAGATAAAGGTCAACAGGCTGTGTGAATGAGCTGTTAAAGAGTTAGCTGGAAGCTCACAGCAGCATTTAAGCAGGTACAGTCAGTGAAATGCTAGTGGATTTGCAAGTTATGAGCAGAAAAGCAAAAGGAAGGAAAAAAAACTAAAATAAAAAAAAGCAAAGGAAAAAATAATCATACTGCGGATGCATGCTTGCGTGAGAAAACTTAGTGGGAGCGATGAAAAAAATGCCATTAGATTAAGGAGGTTTATTACTGAATTCCTTCCATTTTGTTGTTGTTGTTGGTTTCTGTTTTTTTCTTTTTTTTTTTACCAGTCTCTTAAAGAAATACTGCATATTCAATTTGCACAGTTAGTTCAACTCTAAATCACTGTCATCATGGCTTAAACAACTGTTATGGGGAACAATAAATAAACAAAGCAGAAGTTAAATTAAATTAAAAAAAAACAACAAAAGCAACTGAAAAAAAAATCTACCGAAACATACGAAACCGTGTAGATGGTCATTTTAAAGAATGTTCAAAGGTCATACGTGTTTCACGTTAATAAAACTATAATGGCAAGAAAAATTTAAAAAAAAACAGTTTATCAACTATTTTAATGACTCAAAATGACATTAGCACCTGTAATCGGAGGAAGTGAAAGGCAAGGATTTAGGAAACATTCGCTGTGTTCTGAAAAAAAAGAACAAATTATACAAAGCCTTCAAAATGTTTTTTGTCGTTGTTTGTAAAAGCCTGGCCTTCTCGAAGGGACCTCTGAGATTGCCTATGCAGTATTTCTAATTTCTTCTAGAGAATGACAAACCTCCTTAATTTAAATTGGGTGCAATTGACCACTGTAAAGGCATGCATCAGAACATTCAGGAACGGCCCAGTTAACATCAAACACTCGCACACACCCCTTCTGCTCCCCTAGCCCCCTCCTTCTCCCTACTCAGACACATACAAAATAAGCAGACTGTATAAATCCCCACCTAGGCATGCCTACCGCTCTCCACTTGCAGCCTCTGCAGTTATTTTAAACCACATTCCACTAGACTTAACAATGTGCTTTTCATGCAACAATGAATGTTACTAGCTTTAAAAGGGCAGTCATGAAGCAATTAATTAAAATGCATAAACAAAAAGGCTGGCTAAGATGGTTCCCCCCCCCCCCCCGCCCCGGCAACAATGTCCTGGCCTTGAATTTCTCCTGCCTCCCCCAGACAGAAGCCTGACATAAAAGAGTGGTCCTCAGAGTGCCGCTCCCTTTCTCCATCCTGCTTATTCAAACTTACCATTGGTCTCCCCGGGCTGCTTGTCCCGTTTCCTCTTCTTCTTCTTCCCCTAGATGATGAACAGATGAAACACAGGGAATTATTTCAGGAAGCAGATGGGAGGAGGGCGCCTGGGCTCACCTGGAAAGGAGGCAGGAGGAGAGGCACTGGCTGCCATCTCCATCCGCACCGGCTCCTGAGTGTTTTCCCACCCCCCCACCCCCCTTTAATATCCAAGCGCCCTTCAACTGTGCTCCAGCTGAAGGAGCGTGCGCTCAGCAGAACAGAAGGGACCGGCAGGGCAGAGAGGAGAGACCTCTTTCCCCATACGTCTGTGTCCATCCTCAAACCTGACCCCGAGCATCCATAAAAGGGGAGAGGGCAACTGGATGGTGAAGATTCGGGGAGGTGTGGAGAGACGGGATTGGAAGTGGCCCAAGAGCCTGGGGACAGATGAACGATACTGAGATGGCTGTGAGAGCCTCCTTGCCCCACGCGAATCTCTTATTAAGGCCAAATGGTCCTCATTCGGAATCAAAACATAAAAGCCTCAGTAAGGGATTTTCTTGGCACTGTAGCGTGGGCCTTGGTTTTAACGACGGAAGGGGAGAAAAAAGGGGAAACAGAGCCAGAAACCATCTGAGCTGCTTTTCAAACTGCTGAGTGGACATCCATAAAGGGGAACATCGGCTCTCGCCATTTTCCACTTAGGTAGCGACTATAATACTCTTAGTAATAACAGCTACCATTTACTGATCACATACTATGTGCCAGACATGATTCTAAGTGTGCTATTCCTAGTGACTCATTTATCCTCACACAATCCTATACACCAGATGTGATCATCATTCCAATTTTACAGATAAGGACACTGAGGCACAGAGGAGTGCATGCAGTCTCCTGAGATGACAGAGCTACCAGATGATGGGGCCATGATGGGAACCCGGGCGTTCTTGGTTCCACAGCCCTTAACCGCTAGGCTACACTGCCTACCTATTTACTGCCTTGCCCTCCGAGGAAGGCTCTTAATGGATTACGGGTGATAAACTGCATGGTGTGATTCACATTCTCCAATCTGACCCTCCCTGATATCTTGACGGTCTGTTCCCATCTGTGGATTTGGAATGGGAGTAGGGAAGAACTCTAGTAGAGGTAACCGCCCCCTTCCAGATCTGAAACTATTTCTCCCTCACCCCGTTAGCTCCAGTCCCATCCATGTGAATCAGCTGCCTGATATATGTGAAGCGTCACAAACAAAAGGAACTGGTGGTCTGACATGTCTATTTGTTTCGGAATATCTAAATATTAACCTTTGCCTAAAAGTTCTCAGGGTATGTTGACGTCAACTCAAGAAGAGACAAGAACAGCCACTGGTAGAAAACTTGAGAATCCATAAGGCCCTGTAAGGAGAACCCCAAGGCAGAGATGCCACTGAGCTTCAGATCCAGCTGAGGGATGAGAACCAACAGTTCTAGAGAAAGCCTCTCAGATCCGGGGGGCCTATGCCTCTTGGGAAATCTCTATGGGCCCTCAGTTCAGTGTTTCCATCGGAAACATTTCATGTTCCTTGGCATCCAGTTAGAAAAAAGAAAAGGAGTTTGTGTGCTTTTCTCATGAACCCCAGCGGCCCATCTTCATGTCTGTGTCTCTCCTGTGTCAGGAGCAAAGTGCCACCTGGCCATCTTGGAACAGGCAGGAGGGTCTAGTTTCAGTTTATTTAGGAACCTGAAAGAAAATCTCAAGTGGGGCACAGAAACAGTTCACCTCCAGGTGGTGTCAGCATCCATGTAGCCAAGGGCTTCCGAGTCATCTGTAATACAGGGCTCACCCACTTCCAATCTCCTGCAATATGCTCTGAAAGGCAGGTGAAAATATCCGCTACCCCTGGGAAGCTGTCTGTTTAGGATACATAACTAAGATGTTCATGGCTGAGGAAATGATCCTTTAGACTAAAGGCTTCTAGAGGACAGGGACTGTGTTTTAACTGGAAGAGGACATGAAGAAATAAACACTAAGTAGTGAAGAGCAAGATGCATTTCAAGGGAAGCGGCCATCCCATTATCTCGGGGCTCAAGATATGCAAGTGGCCTGGGATTTATCTCGTTAACCTAACGGAGAAAAGCTTAGAAAGGAAATAACTTCTATTACAAGGCCACGGGTTAGATATCACCATGGGACCAAAATGTTTCTTCTTGTGTTCCAGAATGTACCAAGTCCAACAACCCAAATGTGACTGTTTTACTCAACTCTATTTTGCTAAAATAGCGTATAAAGGCTTCTGTCACCACTGGGCTGGAAAAGCAGGAACGTGAAAGAGGGATAAGGTGATTAGCTCAGAAAAGTTTTGCTACAAGGACCTTGTGAACTTTACAGTACCCAAAGTAATTTATAGAAGCTTCTATTTCAAGTCAGTTTAAAAAGAATACTAACAAGTTCCCACCACAATCAAATCTATAAACAGTTTAACTCTAATTCTTGTTCCACAGACCATTTCCTGGGGGAGGGGAGGGAGGGAGGAAAGGAGGGCTGCGTGTGTTCAAACTCATGTGTAATGAACCACTGATAAGGGAATCTGACAGCACCCCTTACAAGAGGTAAAGCTCCTACAGCCCCAAATCCAGATCTACCTCTAAACTTTCTCTCAAGTCTTTTCAGGGGTTCCCCTATTATACCAAACCTTATCCAAATGTAAAACTGAGCTAAAGTCATTTCAAGCGTCTCGTGAATCTTCTGAAACCTAGAAAGCACTTCACAGAAAACCTTGGGCAATACCTTGTCTGACTCCAGGGAAGTCCATGGCAGCATCCTTTCGAAGCTCTCACAAAATCAGCTTTGTACCTTTGTGGAGATTTCACCCGGCACAACTCCAGGGGGCACCATGCCCATGCACATCGACTGTAGTGTAAATGGCACACTCTAAAGTTGTGCAGTGCACGCCCTGCACAGCTGTACATGAAGGCCCTACTATGACCCAAAATGTCTACTGCGGATAGGATACCTATAGTGTAGCTGAATTCCTCTCTGTGGTACCATTCTAGATTACTCAAAGAACTGGGTCTGTAGCAGGGAGAAGCTGGAGATGAACTCTAAGAACTTCTGACCCGAAACCAGGAGAGCAAGCTGTCCTGAAATGAGATGGCTGTATATGCGGAGGCTGCAGAGCCTGCCTGCTGCTGGCAATCTCCACCTCGAGGTCAGGTGAGGGCAAGCAGCAAGCCTGTGGGAGAGCATTAGCTTTCTTATCCTCTTCCTTTCAGCTCCAGAAGAAAGGCTTCCCCACTGCACACATGCTGAGGACAAATGGAAAGGTCCCAAGCAGTTAAGACCCTGTGCCTGACCATCTGTGAGTGACAAGGGCTCTGAGCGGAGGAAACGTGCCACTGAGAGGTACCAGCACTAATTCCTGTTTCAACTCCCAGGAGGAATACAGTCTAGTGCTACCAGCTAAAGGCATGGGACCTGCGGGGATATGGGTGGCGGCAGTGAGGGAGACATGGGCGTCTCGGGCCTCCCCCATCCACATGGCAAAGGGCAGAGAAGCGAGCGTGTGTTTATAGGTATGAGACTATAAAAAGTGATGAAAACTGCTACTCAGAGCAAGCAGAACACAGCCCTCACTCAGGACCCACATATCCACGCAGATGTCCGTGACTTCCTGATGGCTGGTAAGTTCTGAGACAGTTCTGACTTAACTCTGAATCTCCGCAACCTGTGTGCACAGTAAGTTCACGATCAGCAGTAACTGAATGGATGTCAAGCCACATACAAAGACAGAGAGTTTCCTCACCACGGATGACGGCCAGGGGAGAGCTAGGTCAGGGAGCACTGATGGGCAGAAGAATCATTCACGGCTGTGTGCCACTGACAAGAAAGAACTGCGAGGAGAAGGCTGCTCCCGGCATTAAGACAGGTGTTGCTTTTCCCCAAAGAGTGGATGGTAAAAATCACTTCGTGAAGCCAAATGCCATGTAATAAAGTATGAGGCAAAATAAGAGACATTTCATCCATTTAGCGAGGAGAGCTGGCCCAGAGCTTGAGCTCCTGGGCAAAATACAAAATAAGAAAGAACGGACGAGAGCCAGTTTACGGGAACAGAAGAACCCTGAGTGTCGCTATCACTGTGATTAGTAAAGACAACAACCCTACAGTGTTTTCTAAAACCCACGGGAGGAAATTAGGCAAATGCTGCAGCCAACAAAGAGAGCCCAGGAACACACACATCGCGCAACACACACACTTTCTCCCTACCCTGTTGGGCCCTGAGTCACTTCATCCAACCTGCCAAAGGACGACTTCTCCTGGCTACTTTCAGGGATATTTCCATCATGCCCCTCTCAGGATGAACCGGGCTTCCAACTTGTTCTGTACCACAGCCTAAGGCAACTGTTTCGTTTTTCCCTCTTAAGGGTGAAGGCCCTGCTAACACAGCTGTGAGGAAGTAAACGCTCTCCCTCCGTCCCTACCCACTGGTCTTCTCTGCAAGGCCACCCTCACTGCTGAGAAGCACAGAAGCCTCACTGGGTGTATACCTGGCGCCACGTCTCTTCAAAGACATGGGCAAGAAGGTGTGAACAGCCCTAAACCGACCCCACGGAACGTCAGAACACCAGCCTCATCCGTCTCCCTTAAAGAACTATCCCATGCTGAGGGGAGCCCTACAGGAAGCCAGACAAAATCCTCCAATCTGGTGCTCGGGTAAGATGCTAACGGTCCCAGGACTGCGCAGACTGAATGGTAACTGAGGCCTGACTTGTGTTGGCAGGTTGTGTTCCCTTTGTCCACATGGACAACCAACACATCTCTACAGACTCAGTCCTGAGAAAAAAGCAACCACCTACATAGTTATCCCGTGCGGACCAGCCGGGGTACAGCTGCATGTGAAGCTGTCGCTCCTTCCGGGCCAGCTCGTAGTATTTCGCTTGCTCTTCTCTGGACAGTGCGTGCCACTGGAGGGGACACAGTGCGGGGAGAGAGAGAGATGCAGGATCGTCACAAACCGCACTGTGGCTGGGGGATGGAGAGCGCTTCCAGCGGAAATGCTATCATCTGCAGGTGCCGACAGTCTGCAGGGGCCCGGCACTAACAGGAGGGCTCAGCCAGAGCCTGACTTTTTGCCCATGTTGTTCTATTCGCAGTCTCTCTGCAGGTGGGGAAGACCAGGCTGTGGCCGTTCCGAACCTCACTCGAGTGTGGGGCTACTGGTCCCAACTCCACGCCGGCCATGGAAGGACTCAGAGTGTGGCTAAAGGGAAAGGACTCTCCAAAGCAGTGGGGACAGGGACACGTGCCAGCCCACCCACTGAGTCCTATTCTGGCCCTCTTCTCGCAGCGGGGGAGCCACCTACCCTTCGGCCCAGGATCTGGTTGATGGCTGCACTTTCTTTCAACGTGCACTCGGCTACAACCTTTGCTCTCATTTCCTTCATATACAACATGAATGCGTTAAGAGGTTTCTTTATGTGAGGCTTCTTCTTTTCTTCTTCCTTTTTGGAGTCCTGATGCTTTCTGGATGGAGACAAAAGAGACAGACACCACCCAATAAACAATCGCAAGGTTCAGCTTCCTGGGCAGCAGAAAGCCCACGTCCTCGCCGCCTCAATACCCTAGCAGTTTGGAAGGACCCCACTCTGGGTCTTCTCCATCCTGGAAAATGGCACAAAAACAGGTTGGGCAGCGGGGTGGAGGGGTGAGAGATTTTGTTATCATCTTCCTCAAGGCTCACAAATATACAACTGTCCCAAGCTGGAGGGGAAAGCACACCGTGGCCGTTTCCATCTCAGCTGGTGTCTCTCATGCTCGCAGGACAGAGAGGGGTCAGGCACGGGCAAGTGGTTGCAAATCCCAGTCCGTCCGAGGACACAAAGGAAGAGCTGTGTTCTCTGCCCCGCAGCGGGCGCCAGCCGTGAAGCCCCGCGTGGTGCACGTCTCCCTCTTCGTAAAGCTGGGCGTTTCCTGGAGCCACACCAGCGCAGCCAACCTTGGACAGAGCACCACCACCCAGGAGCCACCGGCTAAACACGTGGCAAAAAGAGAAACTGATCGGAAGGAGGACACTTACGCGCTGTGGAGTGAGCCGACGTCACTCTGGGAAGATTCCTGTTTGACTGTCGGCGTGACTATAGCCGGGTGGGGAATGCCGGTCGTGTGCAGAGTATGATGTGGTGGGACCATATGGGGAGGGAACCTAGAAGACAGAAAGCTGTGTAAATTGTCAGAATCAAAATGAATGAATGGGGAGGGATGCGTACACACAATTTAAAGAAAAGAAAAAGAAACAGCACGTAACACTCACATGAAAGCAACCCAAGGCATATGAAAGCTGTCGGCATTAATTAGCAATAAATTAAACATAATGATTCTTAGAATGTCATTAAAGCCAATCTCCCCCTTCATTATTGCTACTGACATGAGACATTACAATTTTTAACATCTCTAGCAAAAGACAAGTTCATCCCATATACTTGGGTGGAAAAGTAGGCTTGGACTACCTGCTGGAGATCACAGGTCTGGGGGGACATTATTAGTGACATCTAAGAAGACTATTTCCTAAGTCCTAATCAGCACTAGAATAAAAGGTGAAATCTTCTGTTGCATATAGACAGCTAAATAAAATATTAATGCGGTTAAAGTACACACACATTTTTTGACAATGCTGCATATGCCTCATTAGGCCTCATTCTGTTGATGGGAGTGCAGTAATATTTTTATTTCTCTTTTGCTGCTGTGCCCCCATCGCTTTGACAGGAATGGGAGAGAGTGAGGCAGAAAGATGGGGGCCACCCAAATAGTTCCTATCTGGTTCTCAACATAGGCCACGGACGTTTTACATAAGTTTGTATCAAAGATGACCCAAAGCAGTATTTTACACACACACCCACAAATAAAGCTTTGAATTCTGATCTGTACATCCTTTCCCACTCTAAAATTCTAGGGTTCCTAAATTACTTTTACTTAAAACACTGCCTATGCATTGAAAGGCCTTATAAATGATGATCAGAATTGTTAACAAAGAAAAGAGAAGTTTGTATTTTTTCCTCTAATACTGTTTATTCTTAGGAAAGTTTTTTCAGACACAGTTTAGGCCGTGAATTGGCATTTCTCAACCATGCAAACTAGCCAGGACATACAGAGCTAATTTTAAAATGCTCTGGGTCCATCTGCAAACTGACAACAGGATCCGACAAACGGCTCCCGCATTTTCTGATATGCTTGGAGTCACCATGATTTGTTCTGGGTTAGAAGAACCACCCTCTTAAAGGAACGAATACTACTGTAGAAAAAAGTGGGGTGAGGGACTACAAGGGGAGATTTCCCCCAAAGAAAACAAAACGGCAGCCCCCAGGTTCCGCCCTGGCAAGATCAAGCGAGATCACTCAAGTTCAGGTGAAGGGGATCCCAGATCAACCAACTGTTGCCTTCAGAATATAAATCCAAACCACAACAACCCCATGTACCCCCCAGGGAATGAGCACCTGTTCTTTAGGAAGCTAATTCTGCTGGGCACTGAGGTGCTAATGAGACTTTGCTGTGACAGTTATTTCACAAGGATCCTGTACTTATCTACAAGGTTCTTTGCATATATGGACTGGAAATGAAAGTAGCTTCCATTTTACCAAAAGAATGCAGCAAATGTTCATTTGAAACACTGTGAAAAATTAAAGTCCTAACTGACTCTGCATTAATCAACAGAGAAAATATCAATGAATAATGCAGATTTTTGAAGGGGGCCCAGAAGCAGAGTGCACATTTGACTCAGAATTTCTACCCTGATGTGGCCCCTCTCCCATGGCTGCCTTTCCCAGTTTAAGTCAGTATCAAAGTTTGGTAACAATGGCGTGATTTTTTCATAAGAACCATGCGAGTTCTTTCAGGGTGTCAAGAAAAAGAAAAGAAAAGCCCTGAGAAAGAGTGAGAAAATAAGAGAAAGAAAAAAAAGAACTTCCAAGCCCACGCCCCCCAAAAATGAAAAGTAAAGCCTTGGGAGGCACTTGGGTTCCCAAGTTACACCCTGTTCCTTCCCAGAGCTCGAAGGCCTCTGAGAAAACATAAGTTAAGAACATGTGTTCTTCGAAGCCCTTGGGTGAAGTGGTGGGTGGAGCGGCAGCTTTTACTGTGAATTTTAAAGGCTTGACATTCCTCAAATACATATGTTCCCTTCCTGCTTAATGAGAATATGTGTAGGGGCAGGGGGGGATAAAAACACGTGTGTGTGTGTGAGAACACCAAACACCACAGGGAGACACCACAGTTTGAGTACATTCTGGGGTGGGGAAAGATTTCCGGTGTAGCCATGAAGACCAAACACTTCCAAGTTCACATACCTACATACATATTCCTATACCTGAGAAATGTATAGCAGAGGAAGAGATGTGTGTGTGTGTGGGGGTGGGCTATACGCATACCTTTGCGTAAGAAATTCCTTTCTGCAGACAACTATCTCATGCAATGCAATAAACACCCTAAAAATTCCAAGCCGCTCATTACATCCCCCCATCTGCTTTCATGGCTCCAAGCCAGAATATAATGATGAACCATAACTTCTTAAGGACAACTAACTTTTGTTTCTGGCTGTCTCAGGGGCTTCTGCCTTCCTCACTCTCGCTTTCCTTCACTGTTGACACGTTTCTGTTAACTGGATACCATCTGCAGGCCTTGATTTCATGCACGAGCAGTGGGATGCATTTTCCTGTGCAACAAGCCTGCTTTGAGCTGCATTAGGTTTGTCATTATTCTCTCATTTCCCCCCTTGCACTTGTAACATTTCATCTCTTCCTGCCTTATTTTTTGTGAGCCACGGCGCACCCACATTATGGTTTATACATGATCTCTCTCCCTTTGAAGCCGGCGGATTTCAGAGCCCGCTCTCGTCAGGAGAAGAGCCTTGCGCCAATTTAGCAGGCTGAGGGCCCGGAGCTCCAACATCTCAATCTAAAGGGGGTCACAGGGTGGCACAAGTGAGTGTCAGCAAGAGCTGTTTAATTGCCAATCTAGGCTTCTCCATGGTGTTTAAAGTATAATGACCCATCACTTAATTCTGAGAAGCCCTGGCCCCGCTGCTGAAGAGAATGAATATCAAAGGGTGTTCTGGAACAGGGCAAGCTGCCTACATTCCCTATAACTGCCATAAGTATAATAGACCCATACTTCTGTCGCCCCATTACCACAATAATGTATTTAATTTGCTGTATACTCTTTTTAACTGGCTACCTTTCATAAGGCCTACCTGGGGAATCGGCCGCCTCCCCCCTGCACCTCGAGCCCCCTAAACTTCCCTCCCACCATTCCCTTTCTTTCCTCCACCCCATGCTCACCTCGAAATCATCGGCTAACCTCCTAATGATAATTCAATCGATAAGCTTAACCTCAATCCCTATCCTACGATTACTGCACCGCTTTTAACCTCTGGAACGCACCGAAGGAACAAACACGAAAAACAATGCGTTCTGCGCATGCTGGTTCGGAGGAGGGTGAGCTGTGGATTACAAAGTGCCCAGAAGCAGCTCTCCCCCTGGGAGGCTCCCTATTCGTTTCCCAGGCTTTGCGAGGTTGTGATGACATTATTCAATGAGGATAACCTTCCTCCTCTCACTGCAGAAGAGGACCCACAAGCATTTTCCCGCCTATAACCGATACGGGTGTGGGTTTAGAAATTGAGATGATTTATCACATATGGGACATGGATCTTTATTAGCTGCATGATACCCATGGCATAGTTACAAACGTTAGAGATGCTACACTTGGTGTTTCTTAACGACTGTGGTTCTTACTCTTTCCTCCACCAAAATCACTGTTTTGTAAGTAGGAAAAGAGGCATCTTGGCCTCTGCCTTTCAACCCTTCCTCTGGTCTTGGGTCCTCATGCTGGCTACAGAGACTGGGGGAAGAGCTTTTGGGGGATGGCATCTCTGCCATGTTCATGCTGATTTAATTACGTGCCATCCTCAAAATGGATTAGTTGTTGCAGCCCATCAGGAAAGTCTAAACCTCCACCGATTTAATTAACTTGACTGAAAATCAGATGAACAGAAAATAAAACTATCATTAGGAGCAATTAGTGACTACTTAAACATACTGCTGCCAACCAGTTTGCAAATAAACTAGCAGTTGCTGAGACATTAGCCAGAATTAATTAGAAGGGGGAAAAGGAGAACATGGGGATTAGAAAGATCTAGGTACACGTATGCAGGTCTATGTGTGTACGTATTATATATACATTTATATGCTGAAAGATATGTGAATGTACACACGCATATGATTTTTTAACTTTCAAAAACTTAGAGCTACACAGGCCAACGTGGTCCCCACCAGCCACATGTGGCTACTAAGCACCTGAACTGTGTCCAGGCCAAACTGAAATATGGTGTACGTGTGAAATACACATCAGATTTCAAAAAACTAAATACAAAAAAGGTAAAATCTCATTAATAGTTGCTTTACAGTGATAACATGTCAGAATGAATAATATTTTGACTCTATTAAGTTGAATAAAATATGTCATTAAAAATAATTGTCTGGGTTCTTTTTTTCCCCCTCCTTTTATAAAATGTGGCTACTAGAAAACTTAAAATTCCCTATGTATATTCCCTATGTATAAGGCTAACCTTATATTTCTACTGGACACTGCTACCTCAGAGAGAGGTGTGTTTGGGTTGGAGGGGGAGTAGGGTGTCCTTTCTTATTGATGCTTAAGAGTCTGGAGCTTTGAAAAGACTGATAACCTTTCCTCAAATTCTTCTTTGTATAATAATAAACTTACCTGAACCCTTTCCTTTCTTACCTGGTTTAGGGCAACAGAGAAGTAACACTTTAAAAAGCTCTACACGTCCTAATTACTTCTTCCTGCCTTCTTAAGCTTTCCTTTTTTTTTTTTTGAAATATATTGACTCAGAAATTCAACCCTGAAATTCTGCCATCATCTACCTGGGAAGTTCAGGGCAATTTTTCAGTATTTTCTAGGAGGAAAGCCTAACGCACTGTGGGTCTTATACCCTTAGAACTACAGGTAGCAGCAGTCCCTGGATGGTCTGGGAGCATCTAGAGAACTTTCTGAGAAGTGACCCATGGCCTTGGTTGAACGCCCTCTTTCTTGGAACTCACCTGGACATGGAAGCGTTGACAGTCAGAGCTGTGGGGTAGGGGTGACGGAATCCTCCTGTCGTGATGGGGTACACTGGCTGACCTTGCCTACAAAGAGGGGGTACACAGTGAGAGCATGCAAACAGGGGCGGAGGTGGGGAAAAGGAAAAGAAGAAAACAGGAGAAGTTCCCTCTGCACAGTAAGCTTTATTCTCATTTTCTCAGAACAAAAATCTTGGGGATTGTACAGGAAGGATCAAAGGGAAGAAACACAGAACCATTTGAATACCATAAATCTGATAGGAATGGCTAATTAAATTTTATAACCTTTGCTTATGTCAACAGAGACCCTCTCCCCAAGCTGAAACTAGGTGTTTTGTTGTAATAATTAAAGGCGAAGTCTCGCTTGCTTTAATGGAGCCATCACACTAATTGAGAGCTACACATCCAAAGGAAAACAATAATGAATGTAAATTTATACCAAAATAAAGTACAGTGAATCAAAGGACTTCAGTTGCGCTTTGGGCCTCTTTCAGTATTTAGATCTCGGTGAGAAAACATTAAATTAACAGAGCTTAATTTGTAGCCTTTTGTCAAATTAACAAGTGTTGACAAGAGTTACCGGGGGGAGAGTCCCCAAGAAGAATTGTGGGTAACCAATGGACAATCACACCTCATTACAATAATTAAAAAATACAGCAACATGCAAAATAGCATCCTCATGAAAGACACACAACTTTTTCTGACAGAGGGTTGTCTGAGTTGGCTATTCCTTTTTATCTATCCTTCAAATCTCTCTCCATCAGCTGAATGGGGCAAGTGATGACTGAGGACTATGGGAGGCATGGTCCCACCCACTGAAGAAGAAATAGGACACACATTTCCATCCACGTCCACCCTCCCTAACAAGACTAAGGAGCAAAAAATAAACAGAAACTCGGCCCAGGGTTGGTATTTAGTACAGCTACTGCATAATACAAGATGGGTTTTTTTGTTGTTTGTTTGTTTTTCAAGTGTAGCGTATGCTCAGCTGGAGAAATCAGGGTAGAACTGGGGGAGAGGAGGTGAACCCCTCCAAAACTGTATCTTCTTTAAGGCTATAAAAGTACGTCTTCCCCAAGACCCAAACTTGACACTTTTACCAGGAATTATTCCTGTTAAGATTCAACAAATTGTCCCGTGTTTTTCAAAGAGTAGAGATCACCGATAAACATGGAGAAATATATATACAAAAGCACACCATCATAAAACATATATTACACGCATGCATACAAACACACACACACAGTACGCTTAACGACATTAAAAGCCTTTCTACTGTGATTTTTAAAACACACATTTTTTAAAGTTAACTAAGGAAGGTTAACGGGTGGTACTATAAAAGCAAGCCCGGGCGACAGGAAGACAAATTGTAAAAGGCAGTTTGATGATCTGGGCGCTGCCAGGACCTAGGGTTGACAGGAAGGCCCCACAGGCTGGAGTGAGGATTCCAGCTGCCCCGCCTGCTCCCCTCAAAATTAGGTGAAGCACTCAACATGCAGAGACTCTCAGAGAGATGCTGGTTGAATAACATGGAGCTTCTCAATAGACACAAATTGCCACTGTGGTTGTCAATCTTGGGAGTGATGGCTGGGATGGGGGGTGGAGTTATAACCCCCCACTCCCACCCCCAGATTTCAAAACTAGGCTGTGCCTGTACCCACTCCCCTGCTGCCTCAATCCAATGACAGGACTCCAGTTTGGGCTGCCACCAGCAGAAGAGCCATGATCAGCTTCACAGGGGAGAAGCCCTCGGAGTCTTCTGCAATTCCCAAAGTACCTTAAGGGTACCTTTGTTCACAGAGAAGAACCCAGGGCCTTTGGGGACCACGGGTTCAGAACGCCAAGCATCAACAGCCTTTTTCTTACATCATTCACCTGAATGGCTACTGACTTGCCTGCTTTTCCACAGGGCATTTCAGCAAGCAACTTCCCCATGACCTCCCACCCACTGCCCTCCCTCCCCAACTCTGTCTTCTGCGAACACAAACATACATGCACAGAATAAATAATAAGCATGTGCCCGTGTGAGAAACAAAAAAGGAAATTAAAAAATGGAACTCCTTACTGTGGTACTAACCATCCTAGCGGATGGGGGATTTGTCCTACAGCGCCGGGCGATAGCGGGTAATACGGAGATATATCTGGAGGGTGCGGAGGCCGTGGGATTCCTGAGAGAAGAAGCAGAATTTTACGTACAAGGGAGGGAGAGAAGGAAAGAGAAACTGTCAGGTGATGGGAACAGGTAAAGGATAAAGGGAGACATTGCCTCTGTAATCCTAGCATGAGGTTCTTTTCACAATTCTGATCCTAAGAACTTGTCGGTAAGTTTCATCTCATTATCCCTCTGCCGCAGCTTGAAAAGTTCTCTCACTCTAGATGGATCATACACTGGCTAAACGCAGACAAACTCAGAAAATGCCAGCTTGGGTATTTCTGCCTTATGTGATTGGTATGATTATTTGAATTGAAAAAAAAAAAAAATCTAAAGAGGTTGGCACATAGTAGGGGATCAAGTAATATTAAATCCCTTTGTCCTTACAACTTGTCCCTTCCCTCCTTCCTTTTAATTCTAATGACTTACCTGCATGAGTTACTCCTCTGGTTTCTAATATACTTTTTGAGTTATGGCTTTTGAAAGGTTACCCTTGCCTTCTTTCAAAAAAGTTAATTCTGTTTAAATGTGTCCAACTCCACTTTGAAGATGAGCTGTAGGAGAAACTCACACAATGCCTTGGCATCTTTTCCAAGGCAGAATCTGAACTGAACAGACCAGGAGATGTTGGAGGCCTGGTCCACTCAGTTCTAGAGCCTGGTTTTCTAGAGGACCAAGTTACCTGCGTGAGTTAACCCACCCCCTGACTGGGTACCGCTGGACCACGGGGGCTGAGGAGTGAGTTCTGAAGGCCTGTGCCACCGCACACTTATTAATTCCACAGGAACACATCCTGCAATCAATCCTTAGAAATCAAGAGGGCTGGGAGCAATCTGGACCCAGAGGAGCAGATCCACGCAGCTCAAGTGGGAAGCAAAATGAACAATTCCTCAGAATTAAAACAGTATTGAAGGGCATGAGCTGCGTGTTCGCGGATGAAAACTATTTCATTTTTTTTTTTTAATTCTTTCAGGAAGCTTTTAATCTGTAAATTAAGCCTCCCTGGGTGACATTTTCATGCAGACATTGCTTTCTCTCTATTACAAAAACCAAACAGATTAGCTCGGCTTGGACCCTACACCAAGCCATTCCCACACTTGAAAGAACATTTGCAGAGGAAAAGTAAACAGTCCGCAGACGTTAATCATATGCTTTACGATAACCATTTAAAAGCTATTCCCTGTACTACCATTATTTAAATGAGACGTTGAAGCTGCCATTCACTCGTGGAGCCTGGGGCCGGCTGGCAGCCTCCTCCTCCAGCCAGCCAAGCACCAGGCTCGGTCCCCCATGAGCACAAAGGGGGCTCAGAAGCTGGTGAAAGCCAGCTCATGTGTGGCTTCATTCAGGGGCAGCCAAGGCGGCCTGAACAGGCAGTCTACCTCAGCTCAACACCAAACAATTCCCTCCGACAAAGTGACATGGGAATAGCCATTCTGAATCCATCCTTCTTATTAACTAGCTGGGAAGGGAAACCAACCCCAGCCAGAAAGGTACACCCTTGGCCTTAGCTGTTCTCCCAAGACCACCCCCCCTTGTTTTATATCTTGTTGCAGGGGAGCTATAAGTAACCTCGCCTTCCCCCTCTCTCCTCTTTAGGGAAAAAGCACGTGGGATGGAAAGGAGGGACAAGTATAAAAGCTGGAGTAATGTGGCATCTTCTGCTTGAGACCCTATTGGTTGTTCCGTGATGCAATTAGGAAACCATGTTGGACTTGGGTCTTCCCATCTGCAAAACGGGCTTGATAATAAATACCTAGGATATTTCAGGGGAGGAAGAACTCAAAGAAATCAGCAAACAGAATGCAGAACCCAGTGATGTGGTCTCTCAAGGCTGCACCAAGTCATCGTCAAGTGACTATAGTCCCTTAGCCACCAAGGAAATGGGGCTTCAGGGAAACACGCCGTTGGGGCTCTTACACTCCCAAGGAGCTGAGGAGGAGTCCATGACATGCCTCCAAAACTATTACTGCCTCCGAGTCTGTCTGAGGCTCTTGGAGTTATAAGCCACTCCTAAGAATCACGGAGGGACTCATGGCCAGGTTCCCAACACAGCCCCTGCAGGCGTACCCGGAGCTCTGAAGAGATCCTTAGCACTGCAAATGGACTCCTCCAAAGCGGAGGACAGATCCACTCCCTCACCAGGCTCTGGCCTCCCAGAAGGGCTTCCTTGTCAATATCCGGGAGAGGAACGAGAGCCTCTCCATCACCACTGCAGCCAGTCCCAAGTCAACGTCCCTCCCAGCGGGTCCTCTGGTGGCCCCTGAGACCAGCACACTCTCTTTGCACCCAAGCACTCAGCCTACCTGTTTTGGGGTCTACGTCAGTTGGTAAGTGTGGAGGTGGGTTTCCCGGCGTGAAGTGTTCATTGCTGTATGTGATAAGAGGCGTGAGAGGGTGGACATGGTGAGGATGTTGCACAACCGGCACTTTGTTCGACTGCGGGGAAGGAAAGAACAGAGAGGGACACCGTCACGCCAGTTCCGACAGCCCAGGACTCCTGACCCTCAGGATGCCCTGACCACTCCCCACACCCTCCCAAACCTGGACTTTGTAAGATGCAGTCAACTCCGCCCACCGCCCTGGTCCATGCACTAAAATAACAGACAGCTGTGATTCAGCTCTCTGGGTAGGTGCGTCTCAGTCTTTACCTCCCCCCTGGGCCTGGCTTCCTCCTGTGTTCCTGCAGGTGGCAGGGATCTCCTACCCCAGGGCCCACGGGAGGGACCTTCAGGAGGCAGGCAGGCTTCACAGGGGACCGGCTAGGAAAACCGGCTAGGGAAACCCTTGGTTACAAGAAACCTGGCAGGGCCCTAATCCCACCCACCCAGCCTCCTTATCCACCACCCCAGGCTCTGAACCCCTCCTGGCCCCTTAGAACCAGTGGGCAAACTACAATCCTTTACAGACAGCCAGGATAGGATGAAAAGCCTCACTCATGGTCTGGTTAGGAGTGTGAACTTTACCAGAAAGCTCTAAACTGCCAGGCGAGCACCTGCATATTTTATGCATATACAGCAGCCCAGGTTCATTAGGAATCTCATTAGGAAGTCACGGGGAATGCTAACAAATTAACTGGATGATGATGAATTGGGCTAATAAAAGGTATGTACGCGTTTTAGAAATGGGCAGTTCTAGAAAACAAAGTACAAGGCATTTTTACACCTGGGAAGAGCTGCTAGGTGGAGAGAAGGAGAAAAAAATAAAAAGAAAACCATTTAAAAGATTTTCCTAGTTGCAATGACCAGACCTTCCCAAATTATCTTCTGCTCCTTCCCCCACCCCAGTCTCCACCACCCCCTCCCCGGTCCACTACAGACCTATAACTCAGCCCAGCAAGATCACAAAGAAAAACTTAAGCTGAAACAAGCGAACTACTGGGCCATTTACCGAGAGTAATCCAATTGCAAAAAACCCTATTCCCAATAGAGGATTTTCACTAAAATCCTACAACAGGGACATTTAACCAGATTAGGTACCAGCAAAGATAAAGAGGCTAGTATTAGATGATGAATGGATTAGAGTCAAGTTTCATTTTAGAACGTGTCTTCATTTCCTTTTATTACTTTTAGGAAGGCACAACTTGCATTAACATCAAGGAAAAGGAATTGCATTAAAAGAAAAGAAGGAAGGTTCCAGTGCTGCCCACTAGCGCCTCTTGAGTTCAGGGACCACCAAGCAGTTAGTTCTCTGTTTTTCTTCTTGTCCTTTTTTTTTTTTTAAATGGGTGAAGAAAGAAGGGGTGTGATATAGTAAGAGTATTTCTTACCACAGTTAATTGTGGGGATGGCATTTTAAAAGGCGCTTCTAACTTTTTCATGGGTATGTTTGGAAAGAAAAATATGGCTTTCCTAAATGCTCCTGGAAAAAAAACACAGAAAAAGAAGCCAACACGCCCAGCAGCCGGGTTTAATGATTCCTATAAACAACTGGACACCTTCAGAGAAAGACGGTAGCTAGTGGCTCATGGGAGCCTTGTATCGTGAGCTATCATTTTGCAATCACAACACCGAAATTAAAAGCACCCAGTAACACTTCCTTCGTCAGCAGCTATGAAGGTCTGGACATGGCCCAAGTCAGCTGAGTGAAGGGCAGCCACCCCAAGGCCAGTGCCAGCATCTCCTGGTCATGCACTGAGGAGTCTTTTAGGAACCATTTCTGTTTCGGACAACTTGAAAAATAACCAACAAATAAGCTCTCACTGTGTGCTGGGGTGGAGAGGGAAAAGAGCAAGAGACAAAACCTATCAGATGGAGTGGAGACCACTAGGAGGAAAGGAAAATGACAGTTGCTGCCTTCTAGAAGTTTTCTATCTGGTTGGAAAGACACACACCCGCTGAAATGAAAGAAAGCAGACCAGGGCTTCCCTGGTGGTGCAGTGGTTAAGAATCCGCCCGACAATGCAGGGGACACGGGTTCGAGCCCTGGTCTGGGAAGATCCCACATGCCATGGAACAACTAAGCCCGTGCGCCACAACTACTGAGCCTGCACTCTACAGCCCGCGAGCCACAACTACTGAAGCCCGCCAGCCTAGAACCTGCGCTCCGCAATAAGAGAAGCCACCGCAGTGAGAAGCCTGTGCGCTGTAACGAAGACCCAATGCAGCCAAAAATAAAATAAATAGGTTAAAAAAAAAATCCGCCTGCCAATGCAGGGGACATGGGTTCGAGCCCTGGTCCGGGAAGATCCCACATGCCGCAGAGCAACTAAGCCCGTGTGCCACAACTACTGAGCCCGCACTCTAGAGCCCACGAGCTGCGACTACTGAAGCCCGCGTGCCTAGAGCCCGTGCTCCACAACAAGAAGCCACCGCAGTGAGAAGCCATGAACCGCAACGAAGAGTGGCCCCTGCTCGCCGCAACTAGAGAAAGCCCGTGTGCAATAACAAAGACCCAACGCAGCCAGAAATAAATAAATAAATAAATTTATTTTTAAAAAAGAAAAGAAAGCAGACCAGTCCCAGACAGTTTAAAATAAGTGTGGAGAAACTGTGGGACCCGTGGGAAGAACCACAGATAGCCCAAGGGACGGAAGATCGTCACTTAGGAGGCTGAAGGACTTCCAGGGAACGAGGCCACCACAAGCAGTGGAAGAAAGCAAGTGTATAAACCTGTGATGGGAAAAGGGCAGTGAGACTTGCATTCCCCAGCTCTGCTTGAGTCAAGCATCTCTCAGGATGCTTATCACCAACTTGGATCCCTGATACTAAGAAATCTCTCAGGAGGGACCTGATTCAGTAGGTCTGGGTTCAGGACCCCGGCATCTTGGGTCTGCCCATGGAGTACCACAGGTGTCTCTTCTGTTTAGCCACGACCCCTAGACCAGAGAAAACGAAATCCCAGACAAGCACAAACGTTAAGAGACTTGAGTCCTAATCATGAATTGTGCCCCAGTTCTGACAGAATCCATGGAAAGGGCTTAGTGCAAAACCTGCCACGTGGTAAGCACAGGAATGGTGGCTTATTATTACTGTTATTTTTGTTGTTCGGGAGAAGCTGCCCGATGGCACGGTTCTGTTTGCGGTTCAGAAGTGCATATTCCATGGCTGTCTTCCAAGCAGGAAACGCTGGGGAGACCCTCTCTCTCTACCTGTGTCCACTGAAGCACGAAGATAGCATTTGGGCAACAGTGAAGTTCACACGTATGTGAGAAAAATGCTCCCTCTTCCTGTTAGATACATGTATAAAGGGGATTCTAACAAAAGTTGGACACCTGTTCTGGCTGCCATCACTCTCATATTATTTTGCACATCTCAGCCTACTAGCCAATTAGTCTGTTCCTGTTCAGTCAAAACTCTGTAGCATGGGGAGGGGTGGTCAGAGGAGGGTAAAGGGATCTGAAGTTTTAACTGCTGCCTGGCTTTGGGATGGGGGGAAGCAGGCCCCAATGGGACATGGAACTCTTTTCTGATGTGATTGCATGACAGGCAAGTCCCTAGAAACAATACAATCACACAGCTCTCCAGGCTGGCTGGTTCCTAAGCAAGCGCAGGGAGATGCAGTCATACGTGTAGAAACCAGGGTCTAATTGCCACTCCCACTGAACCTGCCTGTACCTGGACTGCTTTTATGATGGGAGGACGTCCCTCTAGAAAATGCCCATGTCTCTCCAGCCTCAGATCTCCACAGTCCTTTCTGTCTGCACCATGTTATGTCCACTGCTGGGGTCTCAATAATCTTTCTTGGTGCCACCATAGCTAAGTCCCTGAAGGACAAAGACGATGTGTTGCAGACCTCTGTGTCCCCTGTAATGCCCAGCCTGTGGGAGTGGGGGGCACACTCTCATAAACTGCATAAGAACCACCAAATTGCAACAGTAAGCATCAGAAGAAAAGGACAGACAGAGCCAGCCTCACAGATTAACTTCAGTAAATGTTGCTGCTCTTAAATGGCATCTACTCAGAACCACAGAGTAGAGCTGGGGAGGTAGAGAGCACTTCAGAAACCATTCAGTCCAATAACTTATTACAACAGCGTCTTTAAAAAATGGTTTTAGAGCCCACTGGCTTGCACACGGTGACCAAGAGTGAAGTCTGAGAATTCCAGGAAGACTCGGGTTTAAATCCTACTTCAATCCAGCTGTGTAACCTCTCACGGGCCTTCGTTTCTGTGTAAACTCCGGATGAGAACTGTGTCTACTGAATAGGGTTGTTGTGAAAATTAAAAGAGATCATGCCTGTAAAGTGCGTATTAGCACAGTGCCTGGCACGTCCACACATGCCGTGCAAAGAAGCTTTGAAAACTACAGTCCAATGAATACTAACAACGAGGGCACAGCGATGGTGACGTCTGCTACCCCCTCCGGTCTCGTCATTAAAGTCACAGGGGGCAATGCAGTCACAGACCGCACTCCTTACTGCAAAGGCAAAGATGCGCACGGCGGGGGAAGAGTACACGGATGTCCTGCAGCCACCCTCCCTCAGGTGCATGCCCTGCTTAAAAACGCGATGTTTGGTCCATAAATATATTTTATTATGTCTTTTGAGAAAAACCATCACTTTATTATGCTAATAAATAACACTGCCACAGAAGAGTTGAAGGTTAAACAGGAATAGCCAATGACAACCAAGGTCCTTCCAGAATCAGGGGGAGGGCCTCGAAGTAGGAGCTGATATAAACGAAACACTGACCCACCACCCAAATAGGAAATGTCCCTTAGACTTTCCCTTCGCTACGAACAGCTCCCACTTCTTTAAAGAGGTCTTTAAGGATTGTGTTCAAAACTGTACAAACCTAAGAAAATTCAGATGTGAAAAGTACCTTTTGTGAGGGACATGGAAAACCTTCCAGAAATGCATCCAGGAAATCTAAATTAAAGCTACAATGTCTGCTGGGAGTGTTGGTGGGGTAAACAGGCTGAAATATGTATTTCCTCCCTCTTTTATCTTTCTACAGAGTCCAGTGTTCAAGGCAAACAACTGTAACATAAAACTAGGTGC